ACTTTCACGATGCAAGAAAATAAACAGGCTAAATACTCTTATCACTCATGATTTCTTGAGGAAGTTCAGAGCAAAGGTGATGAATCAGTATGCGTCCAGTCAGTAAAAATAAACCACATAATAATTTGAATAAGGAAAGTCAAATATAAAGAATTATTATTGTTGTTGTCTTTTTTTTTTTTTTTTTTTTGAGACAGGGTCTCACTCTGTTGCCCAGGCTGGAATGCAATGGTGTAATCATGGCTAGCAGCAGCCTTGACCCCCTGGGCTCAACAATCCTCCCACACCAGCCTCCTTATTAGGTGGGACTACAGGCAAGCACACTACCACTCCCATATAATTTTGTATTTTTTGTAGAACAGGGGTTTTGCTATGTTGCCCAGGCTTGTCTCAAACTCCTAGCCTAAAGTAATCCTCCGGAGTCCTACGGCCTCCCACAGTGCTGGGATTACAGGCATAAGCCACCATGTTCAGTCAAGAATTACTCATTGTAACAGGACTGGAGTAACAAGGTGTTGGCTAGCTAGAAGTAAAGAGAATTCTACAGAACACAAGAATAGCAGATATAAAGAGAAGCCACTGCCCGTAGGGCTGAGGTGGGTCCCCTAAGGAAAATTACCCACTTCTTCCCAGGAATGAGATCAAGAACTTTTTGGAGGGAGCACGGCTCACTGAATAGGAAAGATGTCTCTGTGGGTGCTGCACCAGCACAACTCGCTGGAAAACCACCTTTGGTAACTTATCAGAAACCCATCCTCTAGGGTGCCAGCAAAAGGTGTTCACTGGGAGGTGTCCCACCAGAGGCTCAGTTACAAAATTGCCTGAGGGGGATGCTGAGGTACACTGTTGACTACTGGCTACGGCTGATCACAAAGAACTACAAGAGCCTGCGCTAGGGAAGATGCACACCACAGAATCCGGCGCTGTGGAAGCACATATGCCAAGGACCCGGCTCTGGAGATGCGCACACGCCTGGGAACAGGTGGTAGGGCGGCGCCCAAACCCGGGAGCCAGCGCTGGGGAAGCGGCACACCACAGGGAGCCAGCGCTGGCAACGCACACCCACCGGGAGTGGGCGCTAGAAAAGCCGCACACACCATGGGAGCTCCGCACTGGAGAAGCGTCACATGTGTGCATGGCAGCCAGTGCTGAAGAAAGTGTGCGTGGGAACTGGCGATGGAGAGGGCGCGCGCACACGTGCACAAGCTCGCTCTGGAGGAGTAACGGGCACGCACGTGCACGACAACCTGCACCGAAGAAGTCACACGCATGCGCACACTGGAGAAACTGAATTTGTAATTTTAAATTTCCCTGTAAAGAAAAACCAGAACTGATGACTTTCTGAGTGAATTCTATCAAATGTTTAAAGAAGAAAAAAAAAAAAATCCTTCACAAACTCTGAAAAAATACGAGGGAACGCTTCCCATCTGATTCTAGGATGCCAGTATGACAATATCAAAGCCAAAGACATTACGGGACTAAATATTACTAATATTACTCATGAACATAGTACAAAAATCCTAAACAAAATACTACTAAACCAAATCCAGAAATATGTAAAAAGGATTATATAACATGACCAAATGGAATTTAGAATGCAACGTTAGGATAAATACACAAATCAGTTAATCAATCATATTGATAAAATAAAGGAACAAAAAACACAGTCATCTCAACAGATGCAGAAAAGCAACATTTCTAACATTTGTTCATAAGAATTCTCAACCATCTAGTAACATAAGGAAAATCTCTCAACCTGATTAAAATACATTTATGAAAAACTTACAGCTAACGTCATTATCTAATGGTCAAAGATTAAACGTTTTCCCCTAACATGAGAACTAAGACAATAATGTATTCTCCATGTCTATTCAGCAAAGTGCTGGAGGTTCGAACAAGGCAAAAAAGAAATTAAAGGCATCCACATGGAAAGGAAGAACTAAAACTATCTTTATTGGCATGATGCTGTATGTAGAAAATCCTGTGTAATTCACAAAAAACTGGAAGTAATCATCAAGTTCAACAAGGAAGGTTTCAAGATAACATGTGTATGTTTATATACTGACAACAATCCATAATGAAATTTTAAAAATAATTCAGCTGCTCTGCCTATGGAGTAGCCTTTCTTTATTCCTTTGCTTTAATAAACTTGCTTTCACTTGATGGATAAATAAAAAATATAATAAAATTTTAAAAATAATTTTATTCAATTCACAACACTATCAAAAATAAAACACTTCAAAATTAATTTACTAAAGGGCAAAATTTGTACATTGAAAATTACTAAATGTTGCTGAGAGAAATTAAAGATCTCAACGGGAAATGGAAAGAGTCCATGTTCATGGTGGGATGGCAATTCTCCCCGAAACGGATATGCAAATTAAATGCAATTACTACAAAATCTATCACAGCCGGATTTTTTGAAAACATGACAAACCGATACTAAATTATGGAAATGTAAGTAATCCTGAACAGCCAAAACAATTTTGAAAATGAAGAAAAACATTGGATAACTTACACTACCTGATTTCAAAATTTACCATAAAGCTGTCATAATCAAGGTAGTGTGATGCTGATATAAAAGGCATACAGGCCTCTTACCTTCAGTACCGTATTACACTTGAGAAGACCTCGATCTCAAAATGGACGTAAAACCATCCATCATTGCCTGCTCGTCCCCAGTTCAACTCTGGTGGCCAATCTGAATTGTTGTCAATTTTTTTTTTTAGTCAGGGTCTCAGTCTGTTGCCCAGGGTGGAGAGCAGTGGCGGGATCACAGTTCACTGCGGCTTCGACCTCCTGAACTCAGGTAATCCTCCAACTCAGCCTCCCGAGTAGCTGGGACCACAGGCTGCGCCACTATTCCCCGCTAATTTTTTAAATTTTTGTAGAGACAGGGGGCTCTCTGTTGCCTAAACTGAACTCAAACTCCTGGATCAGGTGATCCTTCTACCTCAACCTCCCAAAGTGCTGGGATTACAGGCACGAGCCACCATGCTCTGCCTGTTATCTGAACTGTCTTTCCTTTTCCCCTTCTGCATTTTTATTAAAACACTGCAAAAATTCAATATACTTCTCCTGTCTGTATTCTTTCACATTGAATCAATCACTCAAGATCCATAAACAAGACAGAGAATACACATCTCCCAGCCTAAAATGAAACTTTTAAAAATCATTTGGTGCTCATTTCCAGCCTGATTTGAGGCCCCATCACTACCAACTTAGAACTACCACTTATGTGAGTTTCCTCTGGCTCTCTAGATGGCCCAGATAATCAATTCAACTTTCTACTGGCCAGGCTGGCCTCTCTGTAGCTGGTTTTCATAAACACTAAATTTGTATAATTGTTTTTGGAACTACTTGCTGAAATATGGAACTGGTTAAAAGTACCATTTATTTTCAAATGTACATGCACAGTTTCAGATACATGCGGCAACACATCTTCGACATCCACCCAATCAATCAAGTTAATGCTTCTTATTAGCAGACAGAACAAAAAATACCAATATAGTGCCTGCTTTTTTTCCCTGAGGCCTTGATAAATGTTTTTCAAGAAATCAAGAGAAATATGACCGAATAAAGCAAAAATAAATTCGAATGTATAATATACAAAGTATAATTGGTCCAATTCTCAAGAAGCATATTTTACTGGGGGTAGTGGGGAGGTGAAAAAGACTTCTAATGTATCTAGGAAAACAAATTCTTTTTTGATGCCGCCTTTCTTGTATATGAATAATGTATATGAGTGCTTATTTCCATCTGACTCTGGTACAGCACATTACACTGAAACATCAATTTAAGTTTAATGTATAAAGTCGCAATGAACAACATGTTTTCTATCTAAGCTTATGTAATGAATGATCTCAACACATGGTATGAATTCCATCGTTTGTAACAACCCTGGAGGGGAGTAAGGAGAAAACGATCTGTCTGAGGGCATATCTCTGACAGTGAGTGACAGCCACAAAGAGCTGAAGTTGGGTGGCCCAAAAGTGCTTTGCTCATTTGATAAATGCTAAGTCAAATCACATCACAGTTGAGATGCATTAAATGGGGCACAGGTTAGAATAAAACCAGGTGCCTGGGAGTTTTTCAAGTTTCAGATTGGAACAAAAGCCCAGGCACATACAGGTCTTTGCTACAAAACTCCTGGGCCTCTTTCCTGAAGATTCTGGTGCCCAATTTCCCATGTTATTCGGTGTGCTGGACACCTATAAGAACATAGAGGGTTCGCACACATCTAAAAAATTAAAACAGGTAAACAAACAAATAGCACCCGAAAAATCTCTCACGGGCTTTGAAGATGTGGCCTGGCGTCCACATAAAGAGTGGAGGGGAGACACTGGCTTCAGCACACCCGCTTCCCGCCAGGGATGAGAGACGGAGGCGGGAGAGGTAACAGCCGCGCCCCGGGCTCCTCTAATTGGGCCTCGCCCCTCCCCGCGCCCCGGCGGCTCGGGCTTGGGGGCAGGGGTGCGAGGGGCGAGGAGGATGAGGCCAGTGGTAGAGGGCTAGGGGCTCAAAGGGCCGAGCTTTTCACGGCTCCCACGGTCCGAGGCAGAGAAATTCACCTTCGCTCCTCTCCTTTGAAAAACACATAGCGGCCTGCGCCCAACGAACAAAAAGAACCAAAACGCCAGCTCCCTGCTGCCGCCGCTCCGGGGGCTCCCTTCCGCGCGTCCCCCGCGCCGGCTCCCGCCCCCGCTCGCCTCGCTCCGCCCCGCCCCGGCCCCGCCCCGCGGGCTATCACCGCCCCCCGCCTCCCACCTCCCCACCTCCCCACCTCGCGCCTCTAGCTTCCCGCCTCAGCCGCAGCCGCAGCCTCAGCCCAGCGCCGGCGGGAACCCAGCTCGCCCACCGCGAGGCGCGCCGCGCCCACCCGCTCTCGCGAGCCTTCCCTCTGGCCCCTCGCCTCCTCCTCCCGCTCCCGCCGCTGACGTATCGGCCAGACCCCCGAGAGAAGCCTCCGCCCTCCCTGCGTTCTGCGGCCTGCCGCTTACCGGGTGGCCCTCGCCGGAGCTGCTTCAGCAGTTTGGGCAGTGGCGGAGAGGAAGCCACCGCCCGGGATCTGTGGCTTGAAAATTTGGCTTTGCCTCGTATTGGCTTTTTGTTTGGAGTTTTTTGGAATTTTCCCGCGGTCGCTGGGCAGTGGTGCGGCGCGCGCGCGCGCGGTCACGTGCCCGCAGTGCATTCTGGGGCTCAGCGAGCGGCCCCGCGCGCTCCCGCGGCGTCGCGGGAAAATTCCGACGAATCTCCGGTCCGTGGGGGCGGGGCGGGCGCGGCCCGGGCTCCGGCGGAAGTGGGCCCGGTTAGGGCGGGCTGTGGGCCCGCGAGTCCGTCCTCCTGGAGGATTCCCGGTCTCGCGCGAAAGCCCCGGCTGGAGCAGCTCCCCGGCAGCGCCCGCGGAGAAGCGGCGCCGGCTTCTTCCATCCGCTTGTTGCCTATTTGTTTTAAGATTCTGGTCAAAATGTAGAGGAGGTAAAATGGAAATTAGTTCTTTTAAAGAAATGTTAAGTCATTGTCAACGGGGTAAAACCTCTAAAATAAAATTTTCTAGCCGGGCGTGGTGGCTCACACCTGTAATCCAAGCACTTTGGAGGCCAAGGCTGGCGGCTCACCTGAGGTCGGGAGTTCAAGACCAGCCTGACCAACATGCTGAAACCCCGTCTTAATAAACAAACAAAAAAAGATTTTCTAGCCGAGTTGTCAACAATAACAGCAAAAAATGCATCTTGGTTAATGATTCTCCCGGCCGCAGATCAGTTCCATATAGTGTTTGGTCGGGGTTCAAATCAGTTCAACCGCGTACTTAAACCACCCAAATAGTAATAGAATTTCCTCCAAACTCCCATTCATGACAATGGCATTAGCTTGTCTTTGTGAATTTTTGTTTTCTTCTAGAATCTGACGAATTAAACTTGAAAATGTCTTAAATCATAATCATAAAACCACAACTTTGGGCGCGGTGGCTGACGCCTGTAATCCCAGCACTTTGGGAGGCCGAGGCGGCAGATCACGAGGTCAGGAGATCAAGACCATCCTGGCCAACATGGTGAAACCCCGTTTCTACTACAAATACAAAAAATTAATTGAGCGTGGTGGCCCGGGCCTGTAATCCCAGCTACTCAGAAGGGGGGCAGGAGAATCGTATGAACCAGGGAGTCGGAGGTTGCAGTGAGCCGAGATTGCACCACTGCACTCCATCCTGAAGACAGACAGCGAGAGTCTTTTTTTTTTTTTTTTT